GAGGAGGAGAAAAGTGGTTAGCAGGCGTGCGAAACCAATTATAGACTTTTAATACACATACATACACACACACACATCATAGGGTTTATGCTCGCATGAGTGAGGCTGCTGGTCCCATCGCATCGATTAGAGCCCATTACTACTTGTCTGAAGGTGGCGAAGGAGGAGGCGTCTGTGACAATCATCAGCGCGTGCCGTGTGCAAATGCGTGCTCAAACTGCTTAGCCGCATAAACGCGTAAGGTGGTAATTGGCATCCTTGAGCCACAACATTAGAGAAGGCGAGAGCAGCAGCGGGTGCCTTACTGCTTAGCGCATCCACATCTGCTGCCACATTAAGCATGACAAAAACTGTGAACTGTCGTGGTCTCTCAAATTTGTGAACTGTTTTTTTTACTATATGCTTGTTACTGAACGTGCCGTAAGCTCGAACCATTGAGGCTGAAGGCCAAATTTGGCACAACTTTTGCTATTTTGCCTTTGATAAGGCGTTTGCTCGGTTGCGAAAATAAATTAAAGAATATGAGCCCCCTGTCTGTTCATTCATAATTCTCGTTTATATGGTTGAACGAGTATATGGCAGTGTTTGCGACTATTTTGGGCATTGACAAACTTGTTAGTATTTCACAATGTCTGCCTTACATCTGGTCTGCATTTTCGTGGTACCAAACCACTTAAAATCTCTTCAGTGTATTTGTAGGAAGCGTCTTTTCTGATTCCCTTATCTCCTCAAACATGTGCTTTCTACTGTTATGTTGGCAACAAGACAAATCGAAAGGTGCTTAGTCCACAAATCTGTCAACCTTGTTGTTAACTCTGTTGCCCCTCCAACTACACTTCCACATGCAACATTTAAGCATTCCACATTATAATAAACACTTTTATTAACTTTAAACTTTAAAAGGGCGGTGGGAGTTCGTAAAAATTTCCCATGTAGGTGAAAATAATTTGATCCTTAGACAAATGCAAATGTAAATTCCGGGTTTTTTGGGAGGTCAGTACAAAGATTTACGAGCGCTCAAGATTGTAAACAATAACTTTACAGGGAACGAAATTTAGACTGTTAACAAGAGTCTGACGAAGAGTCGCTTGTTGGGCTGGAGTTCGGTACTGACCGAGGCGTAATTCGCAGCCGCAGAACGATGTAGGCCGTTTTAAATGCAAAGCCTTCTGCGCTTGAATAGAAGTAAAAGCCTCATCAATTTATGCCTGCGCTGTCGCAACCCATGCTCGGGAAGTAGAAACCTCAAACTTGCCCTAAAAATAATTTTCGTTGTGCTTAATGTTCAACGTTTGATGAGATTTTCGGTCCTCCAGTCGGCGGGATGACTCCCAACAGCAGCAAAAAAGGAGTATTGTTAGACCGTTATTTGTAAAACAAGACGCAACTATCGCCTCCAACTTCTCAAGTCGTTTGCCTATTATTGATGCGTCGGCAGTTTAAATGAAGTTCCATACTGGCGAATGGGAAGGGAAGGAACTTCGTGACTGAATGAATGCGTTTCCTATGAGTGTTGCCTACTTTTTATCAGGTTGTAGATCTTGCCAACAGGGGATGACTGCAAGCTCAAAACAACGCCTCATTGTTTCCGAGCTATCAGTCCCCTTTTCTTTAGGTGACAAGGCGTCGGCAAATTTGCACACTGCCAAACTATTTTAAAGACCTATTTAGGGTGCCAAAAGTGCAAACTGCTCACACGGCAAATCAACGCAGTAATGACCACAAACGCGATGACGTTTCCTTCACATCGTTCCCACTCACTCATCAGAGCTCTTCAGCGGGCCAAAATAACCTCATACCAATTCAAGTTTCATTTACCTTCTTCTTCATGGAGTCCTACAAACAAAGGTATTAGCTGACACGATTGAAGGGACAGCATGGGCATGTGGATGCTATACGGGGGACTCGCAAAACGATACCACGTCAGATCCGTTTGGTGCTCTTTGAGCGTCCATACAGACTCCCGATTTGTGACAACCTTTTCTTTTATCAAGTGCCGTTTACCTATGCAAATGTACCGCATTAGTCATGATCACTGCGTCAGTTATTTAGTTGTGTTTCCGTGTCCATAGGTTTTTTTACGATCACACTTTAATCGTCGATGCGCGAAAACGGCAAGTAAATGACTGTGACATCTTTGGACCTCCAATTAAAAGAGATGAGGCCTTAAGTATAACCCTAAAACTAGCCCAAGTGGTAAACAAACAAAGTTCCTGTCACTAACACAAGCAGTCGAAGAGCTGAGACATTCCTAAGCTAAAGGAAGGAATGTTGCCTGCCCTATGTGACTTCTCGATGCCTGACTAAGGTTGGGTAAAGGAGGCAGACTTGATGTGCTATGAGAGTAGTGAACTTGACGCCCCACTTTGTGTATCTATTCTCAATGTGGTTAAAGCACTGCGGCACGGTGTTATGCACGATGCCCAACCATCGCCAGCATTACAGTATGAATTAGGATTCGCATTTCGTTCAGTCTCAGAGCAGATGCGTAATCGAGAGTAGCATCTGAAGTCGACTAATATGTTACAATCCTACACACTAAAGCACACAAAACAGCCTTTGGGTCTCCTGTGCAATGATAGCGCAGTGACCCCTGAGACTCTTCTGCCTGTTAGTGTTCAGATTGAACTGGCGCAGTGGTGAAACTAACATAATGGCCATGCGTAATTCACCCTCATACTTCTTTCCTGGTTTACCTCTTTAATGTGTACCAATCTTCCCAGCCAACGGTCTGTCCTTAGTTTTGTGTGAGAACCTGTCTGCTCGGGACACAGGTGACATTGAACCGGCTTTGGTGAACGACGGCGAAATGTTGAGGCTTTGGAAGGCACAGAGCCACTCTTTGAGGTCAAATTGATGTCTTTCCGACCGTATGCCACAGCAACTGCTGGTGTATCATATTTTGCCTCCTCACAGCATTCAACTACGGTCGTGCACATGTATTGTCAGTGGAATGGCAATCCGAATGAAACTGCAAACAAAGGTTAAATTGCCTCTATTTTAATTTTAGCGTAAATGCTTTCTGTCAAGGCAGCTCAGGCACAGTTTAGGACTGTTGAATTGAATGTCTTCAAATATGCAGCCACAGTGACCAGAAGCAAGAACTTCAAATGTACAAAATGCTTAATACTTCACAACAACTGAAGCTTTCACAGAAGCAAAAAACAGACTTAATATTTTGGCCGTTTATGCATTACCGACTGGAAGAAGTGCTCAAGTGGCACCAGCATGCCTCAGGCAACAAAATTTCAAACGAAGCCCAGGCCCTCCACCTGACCAAAAGAGAACTAAGTTTGTGTTTTCATCACTTTCACAAACAACTGATTCGCGCAAATTTCTTAACTCTGCTTTACCCACTTAACTACGAGGCGCAGTAGGTTAGAGATTTATTTGAACTATTACACTCCACACATCTTTCTTCTAATTGTATTATCGCGATAAATGTTGGTGGGCTAGGATCGGTGCCTGTTTAAATAGTCACAACTCCCTACCTGCATGACATACGACGCGCCTCTGTTTATGTGCCTAAAACTGGATTTTTTATTTTGATGTTTATGACCCCATTAGCATCACCTGAGGTAGCCCATGCTCACCTATTTCACTACAGCGCATATAACGATGAGTTCATATTTCTAACAACCTCACATCAACCTGCAATCCAGTTTCTCCGATGAAAGGGAATTGTTACACTCCTGTGTATCATTCAAAAAACAATGTTTTTGGAAACTACATAAGGGAATTTATAAAATCAAACCACTAGAGCTTTGTTCATTGATTTTACGAATATATGCCTTGTCGAAGGTTAGTTCTTCAACGTTTGCCTTAAAGAACATACGAGATTTACTCCCATAGGGCAATACGACAAATTCTCTTTGCCTAAATTTTACGAATTTCGTTTTGTAAGGACTAATCTTGCCTTGTCAAATTTATTGTCTCCGCTGAGGTATCAGTACTGAGCAACTCCTTCGAAGTCGCATGCGCACACGCAAATACCTTGACGCAACGCTACTTAAATCGCCACAGTCATGTTACAGCGTGTTCAAGCAACGGTGTGGAGCTCATCGACACGCTGCGACAGGGCGTAGCTGCAGCGGCGGAATCCAATTAATAACGCTCTCCACCGGCGTGACGAGCCTCAGCATGCTTGCGGTCTCGAGTGCGTCGGTTGGAACCCATCGTGTTTTGCTAGGCGGGGGTGCGCCACGATACATGCCGCCTGGCTGAAAGGATCTTTACATCATGCCTTGGCTCTGCTAAACTGAGGTGGATTTCTGATTGTCTGCAATCGTTTTGCAACGTCCAAGGCCACATCAGAAAGATCTCAACGTCCGCCTCCATGCAGTAACTTGGGATGAGTTTAAGTTTGCAATGCCAGTTGGATCCAAGCGCACCCGTCTATGTTCAAAACTTACGCTATGCTTAATTGACAGTGCAAGGAACAAGGTAGCGACAGGCAACTCAAGTGACCACGTCATGGAAACAATTTCCAAGGTACCTAACGCCACCTCATTGTCAGAAAAATGGCTATTTTTACTGTTCTCTTATGTCTTACTTCCTTGTTTCGTAATACGCATTGAAGGATTAACAAAAGCCGCGAAGGAGACATTAAGTCAAATTAGTAAATGACAGCCTTTCTAAATGATCATATTTGAAAAGCTGCAGAACTGGACTTGGTCTGCTATTTACGCTTAAGTCTTGTGTGAAATGATTGCGAATTTTAATGATAATAGTTAAATCGGGAAATCCATTTTCACCATTTTCGCTGTTAACTAGGCAAACCGCACCGATGCCTCCACTGAGTCGTTTTAGGTGAGCAATAATAAACTAGAGCGGAGGTTTACAACACCAGCACAACTAACAATTCTTGAGTGGTACTCAGACTACATTGAACTGAACAGTGTTCACACACGGAGACCACCCAAGAACGCCTTGACAATTACATCACCTCCAGTCACTCAGCATAGTAAATGACAAGTGGCGGTGCAAAACCAGGTGCAAGATCAGAGCCACCACTCTCGGCTTGACCGAGCATCAGGAAGGTTTGCATTGGAAGAAGCCAGAGCTTCATCCACAGTGCTAACGTTATCGGTCACTTGCTTGGCCTCCATTGTTCGGTAGTTGCCCCGCTTCAGAGTGAACTTCCGACAGCATGCAATGAGGAGGGCCAATATGCACAAAGCCAGCAGACTCCCCACAACTAAAAGGGACAAGAAGGATGCGGATTTAAATGTCAAGGAATTCCAATATTCACGGGCAGAATCGCTTAATCTTCATTTTAACATAAGTTACATTTCCACAGATGAGATTCTTAAAGATGAATTGAACCAGTTACATGGCCCTCCCCTTCAATCAGCACCAAGATGTTTTAACTTTAGGGCCAAAGTTTGCACAAGAACATTTCAAACAGGCTGAAGTTAAACAATTATTTTGCAGTATCTGCACGAATGCTTTTCAATGTAATGTTAAGCGCTGGTGCATTCTTATCTCCAAATTCTCTCCCATTTCTGCAGTGAAATTGAGGATTGTTACTAGGGGAGAAAGCATTGCACATTGGATTAGTGGTCAAATGTTGTAAAACAAACGAGTATAAACCATCAAAAAGACGTTTCTCCAACTTACCTATCAAACCATCCTAGTAATGGTGGGAATGGACCGGTTAGACCATTAATTTCTGGGAGGAGACGTGATAGGTCCACTTACCTCCAAAAATGGTTCGTTGCCGAGTTAGATTTTCAGTTGTGCCGACAAGTGTCAAGTTGGGAGGAAACGGGATAGGTGGACGAACTTCAACCGGCTCAGGAGCCGGTAGTATCTCCTCAAAGCCACACTTGTTTTCTGTCACTGAGTCTATAATTTATGCATACACCTGATCACTCCATTCAACTCTGCAGCCACGCAAATGGCGGATCATGGACTTGCCTGGAGGCTCAACATAAACAATTGGATTCTTCGGATCCTCAAAGATCATCCGAAGAGGAAAAAGATTATTCCACTGAGCACCATACATACAGCCGTCGAAACCGCTGCTTTTGGGCATTGAATCATTCCTCCCAAGAAAGAGGAACCTCGGCTTGTCCAGTCTTGTATCTGCTGTCTCTGAGAGAATGGGTCTAAAGTCCTTTACGATTTCCGGGTAGTCATCGACCTATTAATGCGCAAAACTGTTTCCGCACTTCTTATTTTCCCAAAAAAAGCGGCTATTAACGATCATCAGTGTTACCTGTAGATGCCACACCTGACCAATGTTTGTTCTCCAAGCCTTAACTGTATGATGTTGGCCACTGGATAAGTCGACAATATAGTCAGTGGTCACCTCGAAACGACCAAAACCCACATCAAACTCGATAGTTATTCCGCCGTTATTGTTCACTCGAATAATGATGTAATTCGTCTTGCCTTCGCCTAACATCTGCATAAGAATTCCTTTTTTCACTTTCGCCTTGAAACCCACGGTTATGTACTCCTCCAATGTACCAAAACTATCACCCATGCTGGACAGGTCAATTTTCACCATTGGGCCATTGCTGAAGGCACCGCCAACCTCTAAGACAAAGGCAATGCTGGCATATTAGAACACGTGAATATTTTAGTGAGCTGGTGGTGCGCATAAATCCTCACTTGAATGATTGCGGTGATAATTTACGAAAGGATTCATGCTAACGGTTCAAGTCAAAGTGAGTACTAAATTCGGTTGAGTTGGAACCCCCAGAGAACATGATTAAGACAGCCTGGAAAACCACTACGAGTGATAAATATTCACTTGGTGGACTTAGTGAAATTTCTTTTTCCAACAATGAAATATTGTAGCCATTGGTTGAAAGTATTTCTGTGTAATAAACCAAAATACCAGCTTAAATAACAGCTGCATTTCATGAGTGGTGCAAGAAAAGGAGATCGTTTGTAATGTGATTACGTGAGGGCGGTGTATCCAAGCCCTACTAATTCGATTACCCAGACCGGCTTTCGTTGAATGCACTAATGTTGATATCGCCTTCTCGCATTGTAGTCGAGTCTATGATGCCTTTTGGTCGGCAACATCAGCAGAGTGTTTGATGTGAGCGTACTGCCGATGACGGCAAGAAGTAAATCAGCTCATTTTTAACTCTTGCACGCTAAGGTTTTAAATAGATTGACACGTGAAATCTCACTTTCATTCTCTAGATTTTGTGAGTGGGGCCTCGAAAACATCCTCAAGTTGTCGTACCGATTATGAAGACGATAGAGAAATGGAAATTTGAAGGAGGCATACTTAATTATAAAATCCACTTAAATTTGGCGAAAACAAACATTTGCTTATCTAGCCTTAAAGGGAATAGTTTTACTAGCAACAGTCTTTCATTGAATTTAGAACTCTTGTAGTAATAATCTAGCATTCTTCGTCTTTGCTTAAGAATTAAACTCCATTCGCGTCCGAAGCTGAACGAAAATATAGGCAACAAAGCAAGTGATTATGATGATTATTTTAAGTCAAAAAGATGTCGCCACTATCAACCGCCAATGCATGTTTAGGTCTAAAGATGTAAGATCAATTTCTAACTTAAATGACTGAAGAGACTGACCTCGACCGCAGATGAATCCGCGAAAAGGCGTGAGTCCACATTCGCAGAAGTAGTGGGAGTAGAATTCATTGCAAACTCCACGATTGAGACAGGGCTTCGTGTCACATCTCGGTTGGCAGCCTGGCCTCACACCATAAGTCGTTTCTCCCCTCTCGACGATGCCACGAATATCTTGTATCACTCCGTTCACGAGAAGATTCGAAATGCACCCTACGTATCCATCAGTAAAGGCCTGAATTGATTTAACCAATTAACAGTTAACACAGTCTCTACTTATTACTAATTCAGTAGGAACTGCACTGTCACCTGCGTGGTTCCAACAAAAAGCGGCTGGTCAAAATTGAACATGAGGAAGGAGCGCTCGTGTGGTTCAGCGAGCACTTTGGCAGGATTCGTGTCAATAATGAGTCGTGATTCCTTCCGATTGCGCTCCAATCGGACCACATGCCATTGGTTGTTGTTAAGCCAATAAGCTGTAGTTACTTCAAGAACTTGTAGGCCATTACCAACATTGAAGGCGAAGCGGAAAGCGATCCCACCTAAGTGATTAAGATATAAACCACTAGCTTGCAAAAAAAACATCTTACTTTCAATTCTTTCACAGAACAATCTCATTTCGAAATCATCATCTTGTCTACCTTTGATCACAATGAAGCTAAGCAGACAAACGTGGCACTTAGTTTGCTGTATTGCTTATCGGACCGTGCTCGATAGGCCACTAAGACAATTCCCTTTATTCCCCAATTCTCCACGTATGTTTTGTTTCATCAATGTCTAGACAAAGACTGTTTACACTACCTTCACTGTGAACATGTAAAACAGGTAAGGAAGAGTGGAAACTTACTTCTGATTCGCAGCTCAAAAAAGTGACCCGACTTTCTGCCTACATTTTGCATTAGTACGGCATCCTTGATCGTGGTTTTAAAAAGGAAACTCATGTCAAACTCATACTCGGCAAAGATGGATGGAAGTTCGAGATTGGCGTCTAATTTAACAAAAGTAACGGTGTTGTCAAAGAAGCGGTCCCCACTGCAGCGCATATCTTGAATGCTGTACTCCGACCTCTTCTGATCTGCTAAGGTGCCTGTGTCACCGAAACGCACCTCCCATACAGGCAGATCCTCCTGTAACGTCAAGAACGATAAAGTTGGGAGGGACAGCACGGGTGTGGACAAGTACTTGAATATGTAGAATTACTTGGTGTTACGATCCGCTTGACATTAGTCTTCAAACAACGTCACTAGTTTGGTGCCCACTTAACCGCGGCAAAGCGCACGTTGTATAGTGAATAAAGGTTCAGTGGATGGGCAGCCAACTGCAAAACTTTACATGTTTTCATCATCGGCCAAAGGAAAGAGTATACTACACTGACTCAATATCTAATTAACATCTTTTTAACCATGTCGAACCTCCTGTTCTCCACAGATTGGACTTGTGTATAGAGACCAACAATGACCGGCTTACACGCTCATTTGAAGTGAAACTTGAGAGATTTGATAGAAGAATTGCGATTTACGGATGAGTTGCTTCACAAAGACAGAGAATTTACTGGAGTACGCCATCTCCTGAAGTGAGCGGTGGAGAATAATAATAATAGTGAAACAAATTGGCTTAAAAAATGGAACGAAAACAGTCTCTGGAAAGGTTTGAATCTTTGATGATGCGACTATAAAGAATGTCCTTCAAAAAGACGTGATAAAGATGGCGTTGCCTAAAAGTGATGCTAAAGGCAAGCAACAGAAAGTGAGCGATTAGTAGGTGCAAAAGAGCAATAAAGTCAATGCCAATAAATGACCGTCGATCGGGAAAGCAAAGTTGTTGTTTTTTTAATTTTCAGAAGAGAAATGAAAAATATTTAAAAGTTGGACCGAAGTAATGCACGGGGATCAAAAGGGGATGTGATGAATGATTACCATTTGAGAACTTGATACCATGGCTGAGCCAGTGAAGAAGGAAGAAGGATGGAAGGAAAGGATGAAATCAAAACTCACGACTTATGTGGCAATCAAACGTGAAGGAAAGGAAAAAAGGAGAACGAGGGGCTAGACGTACTTTGAAGGTGAGAAGTCCAGTGTCAACGAGGGGCAAGGTGTCGGAGCCGTCGCCATCGCAGTTGCAGGTGAGGGAGTTGCCGGTACAGGTTCCGTGCACCCCACAGTCACACATCTTTAGCCCCGGCACCCCACCGCCCCAGTAGTACCGGGGACGACCCGTTCTGCTCACCCACCAGCCCCATGTCAGTTCCGTCCCGTCCCCAAAGCCTGTCCAAAAGAGGAAGTGCAGAGACATACTCTGATCTTGGTGACCAGTTCGAACTGTTTGCATTCAGTATCTCGGCCTTCAACTCATTGGCCAGATGAATTGACACCATAAACTGGGGAAGTTAAACTAATCGATGTTTGACTTTATCTCATTCCTCCAGTTTTAGATTCGTAGAAAACGAAACAAATTTTTAACCTATGTTGGAACAAATGAAGCAACTATTACCTTCCTGTTTATATAAGATTGGTTTGGCACTTTCTCGTGGAGAAAATTGTCAATCGCCTCACCAAGTTGAGCTCTCTTATTCAAAAAGGCAAAACGCAATTTAGACAGACCCGCCTTACCTTGGGGTTTGGCCAGAAGCTTAGCATCCCAGCACCTATACGCAACAGACTGCTCACAATAGACGGCTCGACGTGTTAACTCTGACAGGACAGCTCTTGAAGCTCTTCCATAGTTTAGCATTCGACTGTACGACCCAGGATTTTGAAATCCATCCACCGATATGAATCCTACATCAGTGTGCTCAATGCGCGTTTCCGGACTCCCTCTGTCTATAAAACACGTCAGTCATTGCTCCTTTCAAGAAATCGAAAATCACCAGTAAAGTCACACAGCACGCTGACTGGATCTAGCACACCAGAACCGTCTAAATCGATGATGACACGGAGTTGTGGCGCCACCTGGCCGTAAAACAAGCCGACTTCCGAACATGAGGTGAAGTATTCACTCTGATGGCATACTGCGCCCGAGTATCCCGTATTGGTGCAGTCACAGAAGAATGTTACGCCGTTCTGTGTGCAAGGAGCTTCATGCTTGCATGGATTTGGACTGCAGCGATCCGTAATGAGGCAACTCCCGTTTATGATGTCGTTGGAGCGACTCTCAGGATCAAGTTTGGACCACACCACCTCCTGTGCGTTAACAGTGATCTGTCGCATGCAGCCCTGGAAGCTAAACCGCTGTGGGCGGCCGCCACCAATGTAGAAGACCTTTTCGAAGTGCAACTGGAGGAAGAAGTTTTGAGCGATTTCCATACCTTATCCTATGCTGCTTTGGTTAAAATGCTGCTTGTTATTAATAGCACTGACTACTGCGATGCAGTAGTTAGTGTACGTTGGCAAGCATGATATCCATAAAAAACACCCTTTGAAGTATTATTTCGCTTTCTATAATTTTTCTGAGTTCTGGATTAACTTAGTGTTTCAGTTTGAGACCCGCTCTCAATTTTCTATTTGGAATTGTCTAGGGACAAATGATTCCCCCTACACTTCATTTAACTCGTTACTTCTGACTTACCGGTTCCAAGAATGTCTGTTGCGTTGTATATTCACGTCCATCAACGACAGTGCGAACCGAAATCTGGCTCATCTCGAAGTAAACAGAGTGCCACAGTCCATCGGCAAATGTTCCGTTTAGTGCTGCCGAGTCTTCGTTAGGCATTCTATATCGAATCAGCTTCACCCCTGGCAGAATTATCTCCAACATTAGGTGACCATGCACTTCATCCATCTCGAACTGCAAGGGCAATCAATCTAATACAACCAAATGCATACATCCGGATACACAAATATGGCGAAATTTACCGAAATAAAATTCTTGTCATTGTCTACTGTATGATAGAAGAGGGTCCCGCCCTTATTGAAAGTGCGAAAGTCCATAGAAAAGGTCACCTTACTGGTTTCTCCACTACGTTCGATTTTAATAAAAACTAGGGACTGTTCAACTCGAGGAAATGTGATAACAGTAGGATCTGCAACTGGTGGTAAACAGTCTTGCAACAGCACACCATTGCCGCCGATAGCGAATCCACTGATGTTGAGCTGCTGAGTAGTTGTTGGTGGTCCCCACCAAAGCAAAGGGTCCCTCGGTGGATAGCCGAGAGCATCCAACCAATCCTCCTTCATCCAGATCTCCTCTGCCATGATGAGTCCTGGTTTCGAACGCAATGTGTCACGGATAACCTGCACCCCATTAAAATTGAACTCCTCAATACATCCGGCAAAGTTTTCCATCACGGCGACACTGCGCTTGTTCGAGAAACTCGGCACTCCACCAACATATACCTACAAGACTAAGCTATCTATATTTGTTTTAAGCTAACTTTTCTGTTCATATCCATGTGCATGAAGATGGAAGAGAGATTACGCCAGATCGAAATACCATCGACAGAAATGTTGAGATTTTTCCCTGTTCTGATGATAGAGACGTCATGCCATTGCTCATCATCCAAAAGACTTCCTGCAACTACAATGTTTTCCATCCTTTCTGTTGTCCAAGGGTAGACCCCAAGACCCATAGAAACCTGAAGACGAGCTCTGTAAACGTAAATTTGGTGCTATGACGGGCAACGGGTAGATTTCTCTTACCGAAACAGTTCAACCGCAAAGTAGTCATTTTGACTATCATCACCGTAGAATATCAGACCATTAACTTTGGAAGTCCGGAAACGAAACTTTAGAAAATCAACTGCCGTTTGAGTTTCTCTTCCTGGTTGATCAAGTAGCATCTCAATCCAAGTTTGTCCATCAAAACGAACCGTGAATGGATCTAATAATAAACAATTCATTAAAATAGGAGGTGAATGACCTTTATTACATCTATGCTGGCGAACCGAACTGTTATTCTGCCTTCTAGACATTCAATTGAACCACAGTACTTAATCAGCATAAGCAACCAAAAGTTTTGTCATTATTTAACGGCTACAGATTCACACGAAGGCAGCTTACTTAAGGGCTTAGGAGCTAAATTTCAAAAGTTTTAGGCAAACCAAGCCAGGAAGGAATTCACAATATTTCCACCATTGGCTTTTACCACTCACGGTATTCGCATCCAAAAAGCTCCATGCGAAGGGCTATAAGTCCGTTCCAGCGCTGGGGATTAAGTCTAACATATCTAGCCACAATGGGTTGGGAAAAATTTACCAGTTTCACCGTATTGTCATCCGTATTTCCATCAAATAACTATCTTCATTTATTAGTTAACGCTACTTACCTGAGGTTCTCCAAGAGAATCTTTTACAACGGCCCACTGCACAGGTATGTCCATGTCAGAGTAAAAAACGAAATAATCCTGGACCCATTCGCCTGCACCCTGACGTCCTTGTGTTGCTACAGAAGTAACTATAGTTCTCTTGCGGAGGTCAATTTGAATCCACTGCTTGTCATTATTGTTTCTTGCCACCCATGCTCCTGCACCCTCTTAACGTGGATTCGACGTTGTTTAGAGTAACTCAACTTACGGGCAGCGGGGTCGTAAAAGAAAGCTAAAGGATATAAGCACTACAACCATTACCCTCAGATATGTGTAAGCGGCCGTAATAAGGCATAGTTTGCGTTGAAAACCATGAAGAAGCTGTAATTTGATCATTCAAAATGCCAACGTAGCGATTTGTCATGCCAAGGGGTACAACTGGGTAAAATGTGCATTCCTCTAAGTTGTCAGAAACTAATTTGAATAATACTTACGCGATCCTACAAAAGTAAAAGGGCCAAGCAAAATCGTTAAAACAACGAGAAGCTGCATGAATACGAGTATGGTTAAAAAAATTAGATGCAGCGGCGACAACATTCTTGCAACCTGTTTGTCCATATAAACAAACTAATTCATGTGTATCAGATAGTGTAAAAACGTTGTATAAATCTTAACCTTCCCTATACATTTTATAGTCTAATATTTTGCTGATTGCACACTGAAACTCTTTACAATTTTAATAGATGTTAAGGCAATTCTATTTTTTCACAATCCTGCACAAAATTATCTCATTCGTTTACTTATCTATGCATTACCAATATTTGTGTCTTACGTTTCTTCTACCAGTCTAATCTTATATAAGAGCTCGAGGACACTATTCTCAAGTACCCTATCTATCCGGTCGTCGAAGGAAAGCATAATATCGGCGTAGGGTACGTTTTAATGCTTTGCTTATGTGATCACCTGTATACCCATTTATTGCTTTATCATTTGTCCTCATAGAACTCCGCGATCTGTCACTAAGTAGAAAAGGAATTAAGTTATTTCGATTTAATACGTTCATTTAGGAAGGGAAGTGTTGGTTGGGCTTTGGCTTGGCAAGAGGGCCATTCCACACGTAAAAGGGCAGAACCAATACCAAAGTCATCGCCACACATCCGGTGATCTCACGAGCAAAGTATTGCAGTCCTGCTATAGTGCGCGTCGACTGAACCATCGAGTTGAGCAAAAGCCCAATCCCTTTTCTGCTTAGAACACATGTATTCAGCCCAACTTAATGCCTTCTTCTACCTAGTAGAAAGTCTCAGGGTCTACACAGATGGCAGCCGAAGACCAACCTTGCATCTTTCGCCACTCCTATTCTGGTGTCTGCCGTTTGTGACATACTTTTGCAATGCAAGGGAAGAGCATATGCTTTAATTTGGAAATTCTTTACATTTTTCGTGATAGAAGGGTTGAGAACAAAGTCTGTGTTTGGCTGTACTTCGTTTACACATAAAAGCTATTGTCAAGTAAAGGGAAATTGTGGTAAACCATTGGAAAATGTATCGTATCGGGACTGTCCTTACTACATTCGCATATGGATGTCGGAAATGACACCACTCCGGATCCTCTTACATACAGGAATGTGTGATCCGTCTCCTCTGTTAACATTTGTTATAAAACATTTTACGAGTGGTCAGCAGGAATTCCTCGCTCAATTCTTGATCTGTATTTCAAAAGTAACTCCAGGTCCATTTGAAGCTGTTGGGACGGTAAAGTGAAATCCCTCATTCTAATGCCAGCAAATGTTTAGCGCAGATGACTAGTGGGTGCTTCCTTGTAGCACCAATTGTGTTGTGTAAGCTGGTGCGGGAGCACATGGGACGTCGCTCAGAAGAGGAGACGGCCAATGTAACACTTTGTTTATGTGATCACTTGATATCTGGCGGTAGCTTTGGCATTGGTTCTGTCCTCGTATGCATGGGCCGGCCCTCTGACCAAGTTAAACCTCAATCTCTTCTCCCTTTCCCGCAATACATACATTCAGTCCACTACTTAGTGAAAAGTCGCAGATCAACATACAAATAGTTTTTATGCAATAGATATTAAGTTTATTCGGTGGGAGAAGGCACTGGGTAGGATCGGATGCACGAATTCAAGGAGAAGGGGAGAGATCGGTCTTTGGTTTGACCCGAGAACGCCTCGTGCAAGTAAGAGCTCATACAAGTGATTAATTAACCAAAGTTTTACAGTCTAGTCTAAAGTCTTGCTCTCTACACAAGAGTACAAACCCTAAGATAAGGTTACCTTTTAATAAAATCGCCTATTAAACAAACAAACAACATTTTGACCCAATATCATGCTTCGTTAATTTGTCTGACAGCTTTAATTACAGTAACTTAAGTAACTATATTTCCAACAGTCCAAATGTCTCACCTTTCGCTGAATACAAATTTCATTTGCTTAAGCATTATACCTTCTTTGTCCTCAGAAAGGTCTTGCGGTACTACAACGGCTTGTACAGAGGATGGCTGGCAGTGACCAACACTCAAATAGACAGAAGAGTAAAAAATTATTTCAAACAATTGGAAAGCTGATGCAGTTTTCGCTCATGATAAGATTATTTTGCAATAAGCTGTGCATTCGCTACAGCGACTACTTTACTTCTCCCTCTTTCTATTCCCTTTTAGTCCTTGCCGGTAACTTCCATCTTCCTAAGTGTGACTTGTCTATTGTGGTTAATTTTGACTTCATGGATGTCTCTGGGTGCTACAATTTCGTATAGAACTTTAGGTTTATGTCCTATTTAAGCTCTATTTATATTTCAAAACTATCAGTTGTAGCATGCGAGTAATAGAATTTTACTATTCTTATTTATTATAACTGGAGCGTCTCAATATTTATTATTTGGAAATAGAAGCAATGAGATTTGGTTGAATGCTTGTAACTATAGAGAAAGGGTAGAGGTGCGGTCAAACTCATTGACAGAAGCAAGACAGTCGTCAAATTGGCCGTTGCTCATAGAGGTAGTCGAACAATCAAAGTGTTATGTAGTTTCCCATCAGCCGTCACAGGAAGGCAACCATGAGCCACTCGCATCAGCCGTCTAATCCTATGTGCCTTAGGAGAGCTACTTGACCTCACCGTCACTGGTTCCCCTTAGCAGCTTCAAGTGGACCTCAAGTTTTGTTCAATCTGCAAACAGGTTTCACAGGTTTTTAATTTTTTAACTGTCGCTTGTGCCCATGTCCGTAAAAGAGAATACGGGAGTTAGCACAGTCTAATGTGAATAGAGATGCGTGCACTTTCATATCGTAGATATCTACATGCGGATACGACAAAAAAGCTCGAAAATGAAGCTTTTTTGGTTGATGGCAAATAGTTGATTTAGCTGTTATCGCCGCGTCTGGGGAACATGGGCTTGGGATAGACACCAAAGGCAAACGTCATTCCTGGAGATTCTCTTTCGGAAGCATGTACACTTAATTTTGACTCCATTAAAGTCGTTCAAAAATCGGGTTAGAACTACAGTAATATCACTTTAACCTCCCGAGACTTCCCATTAGGTGTAAGGGAGTATTAAATGGGGTTGAATACTCATAATAAATGAGAAAGAGAAGTGGTTCGGCTTCGGCTTGGCCCAAAGACTAGTCCAAACAGCCTAGAGCGCGATGCTAACTCGACAAAGTACTGCATTGCTCCCCGGTGCTCCTCTTGGTACACCTCCCATGCTAACCATTACAACGCATTTGGTGTTGCAAGAAAGCCCTCACGACCCATCATCTACCATGCGAGTGAGGTCTAGTACTTGGCCCTCTCAGAAGATTTAACTAAATCTGGAGTTTAATTCGGCTTAAAAGTGGAATTCGGAAGAGAAAATTTCTGCTAACCTCTGATTGTGTTTAGGGCCAGACATTGAAACACGAAATCAAAACAGTTCCATAACAGGAGAACTGAGATTTATAACCAAATTTGTCTATTTGAACCGCCGACATCTGTAAGCGGATATGGTGAGGAGAACTCCAAAGCAAAACTTTTTAGGTGGATAATGACGATCTCGTTGTAATTGTTAAGTGATTTCCAGTGGAGTAGATGCCAGACGCAGACTCCATTCTCAGCCCTCTTGATGTGGAGGGGGCATGATTTCCCCTTCTCGAAATATGTGCTCTTCAGTCGAGCCGCAGTTTTTCACAGATGGTGGAAACCAGTGTAATGTTTTGAAACCTCACTTTAAATTGACGAAGGAGAAGGAGAAGTGGTTGAGCTTTGGCTCGAACCTGCGGTTAGCTCCCGCCGTCTAAAGAAAGATGAATACCAAAGTAACCGCCAGTCATACAAGCTGTCAGGTAAACAGAACTTGACAGTCCCACCTAAAAACTCGAGTCCACATCAGAAAACGCCGATGATTGTGTTGCAACTCAAAGACCTCACAGACACACATAGTCGACTTTGAGTGGACAAGGCTAAAGGGAGTGGGACAGAACAGTTAAGTGAACGGGGAAACAGAACAAAGTGCGATTTGATCCTAATCCCAACCCTCCTTCCCCTTCGTCCACTCGGGCACTCACCAATGGTGCGACACAACTTTAACAACTTTGCTGCTGTGCGCCTGCACATTCCACTCTCCTTGAATTTGGCGGAACACAGAGACGCACAAAGGTGGAATCGGCAACGAAATCTGGGTAGTTTGTCAAATGAAAGATTCGTTGTTCATTCCATCATGCATTAATAATGTGACGATGAGACCTGCTAATTTTGGCATCCTTCAGGTTTAAGCATCATTTGATTGACTGTCGCATGTTCGTCTGCTTCTGCAACTTGTGGCAACCAGTTGCCCTAGATTACAGTAGGGGCCCCACCTAGCACCTCTACTGGAGAGCTGAGTATTCCCTGATCCAGTATTAATGCACAAGATTTGCTCTCTTACTCACAGGCACGATAAAGTTCTTTGACTAGATGCCTTAATAAAACAACAATTGCTTGTAATATAGCTACAATTACAGGTGAACAGGTAATGCTGTTGCAGCGGTACCAACTGTTGACATAAACGCAACCGTTTGGCACTTTCCCTTCAAACGTGGAGCAGGCTTTAGATTTTTTCCCATGCTGCTACTTTTCAGCCGCACTGAAAAATAAAGGCGTGTATTCAAAATGCTAGACAAAAGCACGGTTTTCTGAAACATACCAAATGGACCCGTTATCGTTCCCTACAATCAAAAAAGAATTCAGCAACGGTACTCCACGACTTTGTTTTCTGTTATTACTTTAGTTTTATCCCATCTTCGTTTCAATATAACTCATTTTGTCTCCTCTTGATTATACGAAAAAAGACTAGGCCCATCCAATTACCCCCTTTCTCCTCTCCAGAGAAAGAAAACTGTCTCTGGGTGGTGGATGGGTCTGGCTTCTTTGACAAGTGTTTTATTGGAATCAATCAGCACA